GGCTTTCACAAATGATAAAAAAAATGAGTTTACAGTATGATAAGAGCTACGAAAGGATTTACGCAAGAAGATGCTCTATCCAAATTATTGTTTATAGATTTCTTTATGTCAAACCTCCCAAAAAAATTGTAGACTCACTCTCATCCAGGTTTTTTTGTGTGGGATGCATTGATGAGAACGGGATGGTATGTATTTGTTTTTTATTTTCTTTTTTTGATAAGAGACGATGTATTTAAAAGAACAAACAAACTAAGGGCGGAGGGTAAAGGTCACTCTCCCCCAAGCTCTAGACAATTACGATGGCCAATCTGAAGTGGATCCAGTAACTCTGTTATGGCCGTCCATCTTGAGATTTCCCTTTCAAACAAATTTCTTCGAAACCCCAAATCCCAGGAATGGGAAGCTTCCACCCAACACTCAGCTGAGGAGCATTCCTTGGACGACAGTCTGAAGAAATCTGGGAATAACGTGGATAGAGGGAAAGACTACCGCAGTAAATTTTAGTGAATATTTAAATGTTATTATCTTTATCATGGCAAAGGCTTGTATGATGACTTCTGATATCATATATATTTTTCCGATTGAGTATATAGATTTCAAATTCTTTTCATTATCCCAGGTATGGTGGAATCTATCTTGATTCTGATATTGTAGTCTTGAACCCTCTATCTTCAATTCACAATTCTGTTGGTGTGGAAGATCAGCTTGCTGGAAGTTCTTTGAATGGTGCAGTAATGGCATTTAGAAGGCACAGGTATGTGGCAGTTCAAAAGGCCTTGGTTATGCGTCCATTAATTTACTAGTTCAAAAGGCCTTGGTCATGTGTCCATTAATTTACTGCTCGGGAACTATCTTGTGTTATTATAACAGTTGATAACATCTTGACTAATCTTCTTTGAATAAACATGTTTGCATGAAGGGAAAAAAAATCATTTTTATGATGTACAAAATCGAAAAAGCAAAAAGATTGAGGGATCAAATGTTTGGAGGACAGCCTTAAAAAATACTTGTCTTCTTAGCTTGTGAACTATTGAGGATTAAAAGATTACCTAACCATGTATATATACAGAGGCTCTGGAATTTAACATACTTTAAATACTTTCACTTTTTATGCATGCGTTTTAAAATCGTTTTATTCTGCTCCATTAAAATATAAAAAAAAAAAGAGTAATTCCTGAATGTGCGATAGGATACTGCTTCATTGGTGGATCTGTTAAACAGTTACCCAAAGCATATTTCTTCTCAATGTAATTGGCCAAACATGCCCCAATGTGTTGATAGTCTCCAACAAAAGGACAGAGGTTAGAGGTGACCTAAAAAAGGGGGAAAAGTTACAAGTATTCCTCGACTACTTGTATAGCACACCTGCTCAGGCTGCTAGAATTTGTGGGGGGTTCTTTGTTTGAAGGTATATCTTCTGAGCCGTTAGACCAAGAAAACGAGAACAGCAATATTAAAGCAGCATTGATGATTATAATAAATGTATCGACTATTTTTTTTTTTTTTTTGGAAAAGAAACTATTTCATTGATGAGTACAGAAAAGGGGAGAGATCCATAGGAAGGCTACAAAAAAGCTCCCCAATTAGATAAGAGAGAGACAAAATTATAGTGTTTAAAGAGAGGAGAGCATTTACACCAAGATACAACCAAACCAACTATAGAATCAAAAAGAAGTTTTGTTGTGGGCTCTCTTCCTTGGAAAATGCGACGATTCCGTTCAAGCCAAACCGTCCATAATAAGGCCCGGACAAAATGGAGCCAAAGACAAAGCTTTTCCTTTTTGAAAGGATGACCGGTGAGTGTATAAGCTAATAATTGGGTGATATCCTTTGGAAGAGCTACCGACCAGCCAAAATTGATGAGGAGTTTGTTCGGTGGCCAGTTTACAAGAGACAAAGATGTGCCCAATGGATTCTCCATGTTGCTTGCATAAGAAACACCAGTGTGGGGAGATGTACAAATAGGGCATTCTTCTTTGCAGTTTGTCTTGTGTGTTGATAGCGTGGAGGCTGGATTCCCAAAGAAAGAACTTAATTTTCTTTGGGTAGTGACCTTTCCAGATGGCGTTGTAAACAAAGAAAGATGCCACTGTTGTGTCTGTTCGGTCAAGGTCTTTAAGGAGGGAGGAAAGGCCATGTGGTTCCAATCTCCAAATGGCAGTGTCCGTATTGGTTGAGAGGTGGGATGAGGAGAGCTTGTGTAAGAGAGAAGCCAACTCCACAATCTCTTCTTCCTTGAGGTTCCTTCGAAAGTTTATGTCCCATGAGCTGTCAGTGGGAGATCAAAGATCGCGAACAACCCCCAATTTGTTGTTGTGCAATGCGAAAAGGAGAGGGAAAGAGATACAGAGGGGTTTATTAGTGAGCCATATATCTTTCCAAAATTTGGCAATGGATCCTGAACCAACCTTATAAACAATTCTGTCAAAATTCAGGGATTTGTGTTTGTCAATGTCTCTCCAAAGCCCTTTAGGAGAAGCAGAGGTCCTGTAGATGTGGTGGGTTCGGATGTCTGTGATGGCATATTTGGCCACAATCACTCTCCTCCAAAGTGCATTTTCTTCAGTGAGGAATCTCCAATTCCATTTGGCAACCCTGTTTTTATCCTTAACACAAAAGAGGCCTAGCCCCCCTTCTTCCAAAGGTTTCTGGACTTGTTCCCATCTAACAAGATTTTGACCTCCCTCATTTTAGTGCCCTTCCACAGAAAGTTTCGGATGAGTTTTTCTAGGTCATGTGATACTTTGATTGGGATGGTGAATAATGACAAGAAGTAGGTGGGTAGGTTGGATAAAGTGGCTTGTATGAGGGTGAGTCTACCCCCTTTGGAGATAAGTGAGTGTTCCCATGAGCTAAGCCTTTTCCTAACCTTCTCAAGCACGGGGTCCCAAAAGGATGTTGTCTTAGGCTTACCATGGAGAGGGAGATCAAGATAGGTGGAGGGCCAAGAACCCTTTCTGCAAGCAAATCTGGTTGCCAATGTCTGTAATTCAGTTTCTGCCAAGTTAATCCCTATGATTTCTGTCTTTTGCAGATTTGTGTTGAGGCCAGATAGATCTTCAAAGGACTTGATGAGATTGAAAAGATTCTCTAACATTCTGTCATCCGTAGTAGAGAAAAGGATAGTATCATCCGCAAACTGGAGATGATTGATATGTATAGGAGGATTTCCAATAGAAAAACCCTTAATCGATTTTTTGGAGGCAGCAAGAGACAACATCCTACTGAAGCAATCTACAATAAGGATAAAGAGGAAAGGTGAAAGGGGGTCACCTTGTCTAAGTCCCCTTGAGGCTTTGATCTTGCCTCTGGGTTTCCCATTAAGAATGATCGAGAAGTTTGCCGATCTAATCCATTTCCTCCATAGGTGGCCAAAACCTTTGGCCTCTAGAATGCTATCTGGAACCTATCCCAGTCGACTTTTATCAAATGCCTTTTCAATATCAAGTTTAATCACAACACCTTTTTCTTGCTTCTTTTCCCATCCATCGATGATCTCATTTGCTATAAGTGATGCATCCAATATCTGTCTCTTAGCCACAAAAGCAGATTGGAATTCAGTTATGGTATGAGGGAGTACCTTTTTGAGCCTCTCGGATAGGACCCTTGCTATGATTTTGTACATACATGATATCAAACTGATTGGACGATAGTCACTAACAGTCCGGGCATCCATCTTTTTCGGGATCAAGCAGATATAGGTCTCGTTGAGGCTAGCATCGATGATGCCTTTTCTAAAAAAATCTTGGAACACTTTTAAGATATCATGTTTGAGAATGTTCCAGTACTTTTTATAGAACTCGGCAGTAAAACCATCTGGGCCTGGAGTTTTGTTGGTTTCAAGATCCTTGACAGCAAACGAGATTTCAGCTTCGATGAAGGGGGCTTCGAGGAGATCTCTTTGAAGCTGGGTGATAGGAGCCCATGATAATGATGCGGGAAGTTGCCTAACACTAATCTTTTTGGTGTACAAGGTTTCATAGAAGGAAACAAATTCTGTTTCAATATCAGCATCTTCAATCAAGCTTCTGCCATCCCTAGACAAGATCTCAAAAATAGAACTTTTCCGACGTCTAGCTGCCACCACTCTATGGAAAAACCCCGTGTTCATATCCCCTTCTTGTAGCCATTTCAACTTACATCTCTGGCGCCAATGGGCCTCTTCGGCTATGGCTATGGAGAGTAGCTGTGCTTTGAGGGAGTTTCTCTGTGATATCTGTACAGCTTGTATAGAGCCCTCTTCCTCCAAGGAGTCTAGAATAGCCAGTTCAGACAGCAACTGCTGCTTTTGCCTAGAATTGCAGCCGTATGTCTCCCCCTTCCAAGATCGAATGATCCCTTCGAAACTTTTCAACTTCTGAATAAAGCCATGTCCAGGCCAGCCATGCAGTGGGGTGATCTTCCACCAGTGTTCAATCAAGGGGAGAAAGGAGTAAAGTTGCATCCACGCGTTATCAAAGCGAAAGGGAGGGGGGCCCCATTGGTTAATTCCCATGGAGAGCTGGATTGGGTAATGGTCTGATGTTTCCCTGTCCAAACGTTTAACCATAGCATTAGGGAATTTTGAAAGGAAAAATCAGAGCAGTGAAACCTGTCCAGCAGAGAGAGATGAGGAGTCCCTCAAATTCGACCATGTGAAGAGGCCATTTTGAAATGGAAGGTCCGTCAGATTGGATTCAGTAATGAAACGGTTGAATAAATTCATGCTGCGAGTAGGCCTTCTTTGTGATGAATTTTCAAATGTCCACCGAGTGACATTAAAATCGCCTCCCAACAGCCAGCCTTCGGTGCACAGACTAGAGAGCTCCTTAAGTTCGTCCCAAAATAGGCCACGGTCCCTGGCTCTGGGAGGACCATATATTCCTGTCAGCCAAAAATTGAAGCCATCAGCAAGGGTGATATGAATAGTGAGGGAGAAGGATCCAACTTTTATATCTGTCACTGAGAGAACGGGGTTATTCCAGAGGATGATGATACCACCGGAAGCTCCAATAGAACCTTTGAAAGCCCAAGCAATGTTTCTCGAACTCCAAAGGGATTTAACAATAAACCTATCCACTTTGGAAATTTTGGTTTCTTGGAGAATCACAACAGAGGGGTGGTGTTGTTGTATGAAGCTTTCTACGAGGGCTCTTTTTTCTTTTGAGCCAATACCCCTGACGTTCCAGGATATAATATTCATAAGGCAACAGATGGCCCACCGACAGTGAGGGAGGAGGAAGGTCCATCATAGTTGATGTTAGAGTAAAGCCCTGCTAGCTCCCGGATATAATTGGCCTGCTTTTTCTGGTCTTGGGTTGTTTTTGGTGTCTTAGCCGGTAGGGGAAGTATGCCAAGGCCCACAGAAGTTAACCATGGAACCACAACTTGCAGATAGGTCGAGGGATCGGATGAGTGATCTAGGATGGGAGGAAGGGGAGGAAGAGGCAAAATAGAATCATCAAACATGGTTGGATGACTCTGTCCAAGGGGCAGGTTAGAATCGGTAGGGTAAAACAGAGTGGGTGGAATGGTGGTGGTAGGAGAGAAATGAGGAACAGTTGCGTTTGAAGAAGGATATGGGCAGGAGACATATGTGTCAGAGTCTGGTTCAAAGGGAGGGGGTTTATGGTGAATTTGTTCCCTGACACAAGGAAAGTCTTTTTGGATGCAAGTTCAATGGTCTTTAGGGGGGCTTTGAGAATGGTGCTAGGTTCTGGTAGAGGGGACAAATAAGAGAAAGGAGCGTTGGCAGGGATAAGGTCAAGGGACAGGGGTGTGATTTAATAGGGAAAAGGATGGGCATGGGTGGTCTGTTCCTTCCCGAATCCCCATAATATCTTTCCCTTTTAAGCTTTTTCCTTCATTCTCCAAAGAAGGCCCAATCTGGGTATCTGGGTGTAGCACCGAAAAGGAAGCGGTGGGGCCGTCCGTGTCAGAACTGTAGCATGGCAGTGTGCCGTCAGAAAAGCTGCTAGGGGGAAGATTTGCAGGCGGCGGTAAGGCAGGGTGGGGTGCTCTAGGGTACGGTCCTAGGAGACCGTCACCATCATCCTCTGGTCGGAAAACTCGATTTTCCGGTGGCAATGCTCCATGGATTCCGGTCGAATATCCAATAAAGTGTTCCGAAGTGAAAAAGGGATCAATCTGTATAGTCAGCTGATCGGTATCCTTGGAAAGCAGGGGAATATGAGCAGGAATAAAACCAGAGGTATTCTTCTTTACCCGGATAGTTGCCTCCATTAAATCAAATCGTGATCGGGTTTTCTTGGAGGCCTCTATGTAACCACCGCAGGAGTTGCCGATGATTTTAAAGGTTTCTTCATCCCATCTATCCAATGGGAGGTTCCTGATTTTAATCCAGCCCCCATAAGAAGGAACTTTTGGAGAAGCTAATGAGGCCAAGCTATTCCAAGGGGCGAATTTTAGTTGGAAAGAACCCACTTTGTACCAGTCCTTGATGGATGAGAGAGTTCAAGCTTGTTCCTTATCTTCACATTTGAGAAGAGCCCTGTCTGCAAAAAAGGGTTTACAGTGCAGAAATGGCAGACATGAACTTGTAGGGCTCGCATAATTTTATACCAGTCATCATGAAAGTGTTTCCGAAAAACGATGATGGAGGTGTCCAAATTGGTGTCTGCATGTGGGTAGGTCTGTGGTTTAATAGCAGGGCGGGAACACTCCTTCTGTGGCTCCTCTCTCTTCTTCTTAAGTACTTCACAGAAGGAAAGGGGATGTTTGGTTTGTTGCTGGTTGTTAGAGGGCAATAAATGTGTGGTCTTGGTTGGTGGATCAGGGATGGACTGTGTGGGCGTCTTGACATTGAAGTCTTTAAGGAGGTTGATGAAGGAGAGCCAACCTTTTCTATTATCTCCAACAGGGACCAAGATTTTGTTAATGCCTCCATTAATGTCCAACTTGGCTATTTCGGCAAGAGTGCCTTTTCTGTTGGTTGTCTTTTCAACCCACAGAGTCTGTTCGTCAATCCTCGTTTCCTTGAAGAATCTTTGGTTGATGGGCAAATGTAGAAGAGAGTCAAAACAGCATGTAATCCATGTTAACGAGGACCAGTGTATAGATAGGAAGAAGGATTTATCCCTGGTAGTTTCTGTGATCTTTACACGTTTTCCCCGGTATCTGTTATCAATGTCGACAGTGAAACGTTTCCGATCAACTGTAATGGCTCGGCAAGACATGGCTGGTCACCGGTGAGAGGTTTAGAGATGACATGGTGGTGGGGTTGGTTGGCCGGTAGGGATGGGTAGGGAGAGAGAGTCCATAGCGCAACGGTGCCTTTTGTTTTATAAATGTATCGACTATTATTGTTGTGGTTTATCATTGTTGTCAACTTCATTTACTTTACATATTTACTTATGTAAAAGGTTGAATATTTTGTATGTATATTTATCTGCTATGTTTAATGAATTTATAATGTGATAGAATTAGTAAGTGTTTAATAATAGGTTTTTTTTAGTACTAATAATAGGTTGAGGCAACTATGAAGTGTTTCTCCATGTTGTTAAACACTTCATTGAGCAGTACTTGGTGTCCAAATTTGTCTTATGATTCTGATTAGCCTGGATAATTTTTGAGCTACAAATTTGTCTCTTCCCTGCAGCCCCTTTATAATGGAGTGTCTGAAAGAATACTATTCGACCTATGATGATAGCAGTTCTAGATGGAATGGGGCTGAGCTCTTGACAAGAGTTGCAAAGAGGTTTTCAAGAGAAGTGTCAACAGAACAGTTTGAGTTGAATGTGCAGCCTTCTTTTGTATTCTTTCCCATTGCCTCACAGAATATTACTAGGTAATTTCTGATTACTTTGTTCGAATGCGCGTGAATATTTTGGATTTTTTTTTGACACCCAGAAATTGATATATATTATATGTTGGATTTTCATATTAGCTGGAAATATTAGTTAATCTTTATTTTTAGCTTAACCTTTATTTGTAACAAGTCTTTCTCCTATTTAAGAGGATTTAACTTGTACATTCTAAAATAAGGCAGAATACATTCACTCAAAATTAAGAGAGTATCATAATAGGAGGTTATGTGTTTGAACTCCATAAAATGTCATTTCCTATCCAAGCCCACGACATTTAGCTCTGAAAGGTGAAGTTCTAGAAGCATCTGTCTGATTGAAATTGACTTTTGTTTCAGGAGCACTTTTTTAGTTAGAAAATTCTTCCTTTCCTTTTGTGTGAGTTCTCTGCTGCTGTGCAAAACTTGTGGGTCCTATGTATTCCATCTATTAAGCCTCGAAGAAACCTTCCTTTACTGCAGACTTATATCTCTTCTGACTCTTTATATGTGGGCATGTCTTTAAAGAACCTTAGTCTAAACACACTTCCATTTCACTGATCTCTAGGCAAAGACTTGCTTAATCAATCCTTGATCTTTCCTTCTTTTTTAAACTGGTCATATTTGATTTGTAGCCAGTTGACATGAGAAGAAAAGGTCTATAGAGGTGTACTTTATTTTCTAAATTGCAGGGTTTAAGAGGTTGGATCTATCAAGCATGGCATCTTAAAACTTGCCGAGTTTGCCCAGCCTCTTTATAATTAGATAATTTGAACAATCTAGGGAACGTTTGGGCTAAGGGAAGGTCTCATAGCTAAACATCAGCCTAGAAATTTCCCTCTTCCCCCAAGCCTCCAATGTTCAGCTTAGTATTTTCTCGAAAAGACTGCCCTTCTGCCATGCTCCGACTTTTTGTTATTAGTTGTGGAGATCAGGTTTCTCAACCCCATAAGCACCGTACTTACATTGTTAAGCTGCTTTCTCCAGACATGTTCTGAAATCGGATTACTTCAAGAATTCATTGTGTAAATTTTCGAATTTCAGTTTATATTATTAACTTTTCCTTTATGTTCAATCAAATTTCCTGCAAATAGATACTTTGCTGCACCAGCAACTACAACTGAAAAAGCTGAACAGGAGGCTCTACGGAAGAAAATCTTGGAAGACTCGCTGACGTTCCATTTCTGGAACAGTGTGACATCTACTCTCATTCCCGAGTCCGAGAGCCTTGTGAGCAAACTTTTGGAACATACTTGTATCAGATGCTTCGACATATTGTGAATTTTTCCGGTACTGTCCAAAGTTATTTAAGCACAATAGACTGAGTTTTTGTAACTTTAATAGTGTGGCTGGGCTGGGGCTGGCATTCTATCCTAGGATCTTCATGGGTTTAGATTCAGCCATATGAATATGAGGTTTCAGCCCTGTTTTAATTTATAATTCTGGGTGTACTGTACATGCACATATATGATACACATTTTACCATCTCTTCCTGTGTGCTCTTATTCGCATCGAATTATATATATATATTATTAGCAATAGCTAAGAATTCGTGTGAAGATGGGGATACTTTTTTTCTCTGTATATGGCTTGTGATATGTACACGAACAAGGTTTATTTATTTTAATACATAGAACATGAACATGTGGTTTTTATAATTTTCCAAAAACTGGAATCCCTTTATCTGACATGATTAGTTGGTCGTGAAATTGGCTGTTCGGCAAGTCACGTTTATTTTTTAAATGGTATAGAATTATTTGTTCAGTAGACAGTAGATAGCTGTCTGGGCAAGTATGTGTGTGTATACTGTATACATCCGGAGGGATATGTGTATAAAAAAGTATCATCCTTTTTAAATTTTAGGTTAAATTATTATAAATTTAATAGTCTGTCTATTTGATTCTTAGTTTTTGATTTTGTGTACTTTAATTCTTAACACCGTTAATATCTATCATATGTGAAACCATGTTGTTTACACATGATCTCTTTTACATTCTATATTTGAAGTGATATAAAAATAACTAGTCCAAACTTTTTGGAACGTTACTAAATTAAGTTGATTTATACATCCTGCATAATAACATTACTACGGAAGTCTTTATGGAAAATTCCCAATTTTGTATAACTTTTTATTTTAACTTAATTAAGTGTTACTTTTTGTCCACCAAAATAAATGATAAAAGCATATACTCCTTCATTTGTTAGCAATTAAAACTCGCGGGTCAGAAAAGTCCCCTTTTTATTTTCTTTGATCATCGGAAAAGATTGGCGCCATTTTAACGAATTTCTCATAAGATTGAAATGAATTGATTATTGATAAATTTTGCAATCAACGGATTTGGCGAACTACAATCTCCCTGAAGTTTATTCGCCGTTCGAGCAAATCATGTCCCGTTACCCTTACACCTTCGTCTACTTTTGTGTGCGATCCACTTCCACTTTGAATTTTTAGTTAAAGTTGGCGTGGATCCTAATTGCTAAACAAATCTGTTCTGTTAACTTCCCTGATATTACTTGAAGAAGAAGCACATCTTTCTTGGTAAGGGATGCCGGTGGCGAAGCCGGAATCATCAGATGTCAGAATCATCGCTCACGTAGACATGGACTGCTTCTACGTTCAAGGTTCGATTTCTCTTACACCCTAACGCTCATCTTTATAAAACTACCATCAACTGTGAATTCCTATGAAGTCCCTTGTTTACTTTTTTTCTGGCTCCAAGACTACCAACTTCGAAGCACAGTCTGAAATTGCTCTTTCTTGCCGCCGTGCTATGAAATTTTAGCCCAAAATTTCTCTTTACGTTTGTTAGTTCCCCCATCACACAACCACGACAGGGGTTCCTCTCTTCCATGTACTTCTACTTCTTTATACGGATATGCTTCCGAATTGAAATAGCTAAAATGTGGCTTTATGGACCGACTAAAATCTCTTATTTGACAAGGGACCGAGTTTAGTTACAGCGCGATTTGCTGGTTGGGGCATAACAGGAGAACTTTCATAGATAAATTTCTGGCCGAGTGGAGGAGTAGAGTTATTTTAGTATAGTGCTTTATTATTGGCTTGTACTTGCCCAAACTTGGGAGGTCATATTATTTTGGTTCCTATATAGTCAGTCTAGTTCTTTGGTGTTTTATTGGAGCTGTTTTCTAGCTTGTTGGCGTCTCACACCTTTTTATTTTTAACCAATGAAGGTTTTCTTGGTTAGAAAGAAGAAAAATTAAAATCTAAAGCGGTAATATAATTTAAGCATGGGTATAATCTCCTTTTATATTAATGCTAGTTGGAGTTATTTCTTTGTTATTTCCCTTGGCTTGTTTGAGAGGACATGCCTTCCTCTCATTTTATACTTCTCACTCATCAAATAAAAAGCTTGTTTCCTATAAAAAACATAGTTCATAATCCTAGAATCACCTGGAAAAATGGTATCTGATTCTGGCTGGGGTGTTATTAAGATTCTTGATAAGAATAAAACTTGACACTAAAATTTGAGGTTGCTGCTGCATGATTTCGTGATAAGCTGTAAGTGGGGTTCATGGATTCTTATCAGTGCAAAGATTAGCATTAATGTATGATCAGAGAAGTTGTGGAAAATTTGTCTGCCATGTTGTGCTTTTCATACCCTTTTTCCAAAAGATTACGGTAAAGTTTCTTTTATGGTTTGATTGACAAGGTTTTCCTCTCTCTCAAGTTAATTGTTTTATTATCTCTGCAGTTGAGCAGCGGAGACAGCCACATTTAAGGGGTTTACCCACTGCCGTGGTTCAGTATAACCCATGGAAAGGTGGTGGCTTGATTGCTGTTGGCTATGAGGCACGCAAATTTGGTGTGAAGCGGTATTGACATGTCTCTCCCCACGTTATGATTTATTATCTTCAAAACTCTAATAAGCTTCAGATCAATGCGAGGTGATGAGGCAAAGAAAGTCTGCCCTGAAATTCAGCTTATTCAAGTTCCCGTGGCACATGGTAAAGCAGACCTCAAGACATACCGGGATGCCGGTTCGGAGGTCAGTAGGATGATTAGTACATTGGGTCTTCTACGTTACCCAGGAATGCTGACATTTTCAAATAATGAACTATCAACATTGTAGGTTGTTCGTGTTCTTTCAAAGAAGGGAAGGTGTGAGAGAGCATCAATTGATGAAGTATATCTTGACCTAACAGATGCTGCTGAAGCAATGTTACTTGAAACTCCTCCAGAGAGCATGGAGGTTATTGATGTTGAGGCTCTTAAATCTCATATTTTAGGGCTTGATCAAGAGGTTAGATACAATATCTGAGATTTCTTCATTCCTGATCTTCTCCTGCTTAAAGTCACAACTCAAATGAGTAACTAAGCCTAAAAAATGTTAATTAGTAGGTGCCAATTTTCATTGTAAATTTTGACCATTTTTTTTCAATAAATCAATAAAAAAAACAAAAGCTTTAATTGATATAATGCGAAGAGAGTGGCTGAAATTGAAAAAAGACCTTAACTGGTACAAACAAGGGACTGGTCACATTGATAAAACCACCACTACATTTAGGGACTTCACTGTGACAGTAATCATTTATTTCTTCTTGTATGCATATCTTTTTTCCCTCTTCCTTTTAGCTTGGTTAAACAAGATCTTTTTCTTTATCCAACTGTACCATTAAAATTTAAATTCAATCAACTCCATAGTGCTGAAGTGCTGATAATATTGGTCATGAACTGGCTTTTTCATCAGCTACAATATACATTATTGAAATTGATTTTAAATCAGGAACAAAGTGGTAACCAAGGAAGTGTAAGGATGTGGCTTACACGGAGTGATTCAGATTATCGTGATAAGCTGTTGGCTTGTGGAACTCTCATTGTCGCTGAACTAAGGATGCAACTGTTGAAGGAGACCGAGTTCACTTGTTCTGCTGGCATTGCTCATAACAAGGCAGGATGAAATTTATTTGTTCATATTAAATCCTATATTTCACACGACACTATCTTGTAAATGATATTATTTTCAATTATATATGAGATTGTGAGAAGATGCTGGCTAAACTTGCAAGTGCCATGAATAAACCTGCTCAACAAACTGTTGTGCCCCTCTCCTGCGTGGAAGGATTGCTTGATTCCCTGCCAGTAAAGAAAATGTAAGTTTCATTTTGTGATGTCTAATGATATGTTAACATTTAACTTATTCCTGCCAGTGCTGAATTTCTGTGGCAGGAAGCAACTTGGTGGAAAGCTAGGGAGTTCTTTAGAAAGTGACCTTGGTGTGAACACTGTTGGAGATCTATTGAAGTTTTCAGAGCAGAAGCTACAAGAGCGTTATGGTGTCAATACTGGGTAAATGAACTTAATGTTGGATCTCTTCGGAATAACTACAGTGAAATAAATAAATTAAAAGGAAAACAGGAAAAAAGAGACAAAATGAATAAGGACACTTGTTTGTAATTTCATACTCTCTCTATGAAATTGTTTTGTTTCAGACCAGAAAAAGGGAAAAAAGAGAATAAAGGTTGTTATGGTTTGTAGGGTTGTGTTATCAGTTTGTCTGCTTACAATCAACAGAGCAGGTCTAATAGAATAATTTTACTTCTCTTTTTTTTAGTACTTGGTTATGGAATATAGCTAGAGGAATCAGTGGGGAAGAAGTAGAAAGTCGCCTTCTCCCCAAAAGCCATGGTTCTGGGAAGAATTTTTCTGGGCCCCAAGCTCTGAGGACAATTTCTTCAGTAAGATTTATTTTTTATTTTAATGTTTATCATAAGAGTACATCAGTAAGATTTATGCTCCTGTTGTTTGGTCTTTCTTCCTTTTCTTTCTTGATGTGAGTGTGTGCTTAGGAGGATGAATAATCTTCTTGTATTGCAGATTGATTAAGGCTTTGATGTACAGCGCTTTGAGTGTTTAATGCTGAATATTCTAAATTGATGTTATGCTACCAAATATTCAGTTGAATCTAATTGCCATTTGTCTTATTTCTAGTATTGATACTAGATTTATTCTTTACAATTCTTTCTATTACATGATTTTGATCTTCGAGGAATGTGTTAGAAATAACACAAATTAAGACATTGAAGTATTTAAGAGCATGCAGAAGTATGATCAACTGGACCAGGGGTATGTCTTCAACTAATATTTAAAAACAGAATCAGCTTCAGCTTTGAGAATTGGAACTGATCTAACAACAATGGCTATGACATTTGGTATTCAAGAAGTGTGTATAATATTTAACAACATAGGTGACCACAATGGGTTTCAAATTCATAATCCATTGGTTAAACCCTAGGCCTTCACCACCTTATGCAACCCTTGGGTTGCATGTGTGTTTAACTATCATCCTTAAATTAGGTACCGGCGCATAATTGTTGAAGATAAAATGTGCAGCTGGAACTTAAAATTGATACTTGTTGGAATGTACATCTAGCACATGTTCTGTGCTTAAATTAATGTTTTCCAGGTTAGTTGACATCGAAACAAACTCTGGAACTGGAATCAATTCATTTATTTCCAAATGGCATTTCTATATGGTGCTTACTGTTGCTCCAAACATGGTTTCATGTGCAAGAAGATATTCTTTCCCCTTGACATAAGACTGGTGGTGCATGTTTGGAAGTCCTTGTTTAATCATGGTGCCCATCATCATTCCCACTTATGCAGGTTCAGCACTGGATAAATGAACTTTCTGAAGAATTGAGTGAACGTCTTTGTTCTGATTTAGATCAAAACAGGCGAATGGCTCACACCCTTACACTTCATGCTAGTGCATATAAGGTTTGTTTTTCGTGCTCTCAACATGTTACTGAGATTTTGGTTCCACAACACAAATTAATAAATGTATTTATAAATGGCTTGCTGCCCACTAATTGTTGAGATACGTTGGTGCTTGGTGGTGCAGTTGAGTGACTCAGATTCGCATAAAAAGTTCCCTTCCAAGTCTTGTCCCTTGAGATACGGTGCTGCTAAAATTCAGGAGGATGCACTAAACTTGTTTAAGGCTGGATTGCGGGATTATTTAGGCTCTTTCGGAGCTAACACCCAGAGAGATCCAAACGGTGGATGGAGAATAACTTCTCTTTCGGTCTCTGCCAGTAAAATTGTTACCATACCATCTGTAAGTTTGAACATATTTGGCTATTAGTTATGTGGTCTGGTTATGCCCGATCACTAAGGGCTTGGACATCTTGTCATATTGCTTGCAGCCTAAAACCTGAAGTATTGCTCTTTGGCTGAAAAAACTTCCCTAGTTTCCTGTCTGAATTTGATAGGAAACTTTACCGATGATTGTTTAAATCTTTTAGCATAAAACCCTACTGTTTTTACGGCTAAACTGTACTTACTGTTGAACAATACTAGTTGACATGTTTTTTTTAAAAAAAAAATCAGTTCATCTGTACATTGATGCTATTTATTTCATTAATTTTTTGGTTGTTTTCTTTTAATTTCAATGCTCAGCCTTCTCGTGCATATTCTTCTGATAGGGAACGTGTTCAATTACAAAATACTTGCATGGCCAGCATTCTTCCTGCACGGCATCTGAGCAACTTCAGGATAAGGATACACAAGAAGCTGCTTTACTTTCAGGTATTAAGAGTTAAAATATGCTTCCTTCTATTTTTCTTCTCATTGTGCTTATTTTAGTTGATGAGAACTTCCTGGTCACTTAGGTTGTACGAATTATTCAGCGGTGGATTCAAATGAAGCTCATGATGAATACACTGGTGAAGAAACCAAGATTGAAAACGTTCATTTAGGTTGTACAAACCATTCAATAGACTCAACCGAGGCTCTTGATAAATTCACCGAAGATGAAATAGAGGTCGAGAATGCAGTAGATACATGTAGTTTGGATCAAAATGTGTGTGAAAGGGATTCGTTGAAAGAAGTCATGGTATATGACAATAAATAGTTCTTTTATTGTTTTATGTTCTTGTAACATATTCTACAACACTTATTCTGAACGGATCATATTCTACAACACTTTTCTGAACGTATCAAGTTGTTGTAGTATGATCTTTTGACTTTTATGGTAGCTTTAGTTTTTGGAATCAAAAGTTTTGGAGTTTGAGTTTTAGATTTTTGTTCCAAGATTGCCTGTTTTTAGCTTCTGTGAACCAATAGGTATAATTGCAAATGCCAATTCTGAATAATTTTTACGCAGTCACAAGAAACCTCAATTACGTAGGACTAGTTTTCATGTTTGCAATTTGAAATTTGTATTGAGAAGTTTTGAATAAATCCAGTTGTAATGAGCATTCTCATTGCTACGAGGTTGAGTTAGAGTTACTGAGCATTCTAGTGGTAATGCCATCTTTAATGCTGTCTAATGTGCGGTGCATTTTCTTAAGATTAATGTAAAAGTACTTCAGGTAATAACATTTATGATTTCTAACCAGATTTTTTGATGTGCAGGATCCATCTTGTTCTTCCAAAATGTTAGAAAAAGATGGTGATATCCTAGAAACAACCAGGCTGCCCTTAGTTTCAGGTATGGTATTTGTGTACACCCTAATATTTTTCTTCCTTTCCCGCTTTCTAACCTAAATACAGGTACTTCTTACAGAAACCAAGTTCTGTTCGGGTCCAAGTAAAAGTGAGTTCCCAATACTCCCATTAGAAGAACAGAAGTTCAAGAATACAAGAAGTATGTCCCCTCTGTGTACAAAAAGGAACACATCAAAAGACAAGGTTTGCATATGCTTCTCTATTCTAATTCATTTGAAAAGTTCCACAAGCATGAGAGATTTTGCTGTGAAGTATGGGAGTAAAAGAATAAATGGATCAAAGAAGTTATATTACGAATGTTTGGCCACCCCATGGAACTGAAGAGCGTAATGTTTGATTTTTAATGGGGCCAATTGTGCTTTTGAACAAAATAGTTGATTTTTGTATATTTCAATTTTAAGTTAAAATATTGTTTTTTAATCCAAAAAGGTTTGTGTTTAATTGGAAGAGTTATCACACTTTGAAGATTTGTTGTTTTTATTCTTTATCATGTCATGATGTCAGGGGACAGCTTCAATCTTGAGATTCTTTAAGCCTGATCTCTCATCAACATCGAGGAATCAGGGACTTGGTGAACGCATCCAAGATGGTAGCTTATCATCTGCTGGTATTTTTCAAATTTATTGCCCTCTTAGAATTGTAATACTGGCCTATTAGACTTGCAATTTACCTGTATACACCTAGAATTGAATTTCATGCATATGCTGATTGCTGTCAGATGGACATACTAGCAGTGAACAAAGCGGTGAAAGATGGAATTATAAAGTTGATGAGATTGACGTTTCAGTCGTAGAAGAATTACCGCCAGAAATTCAGAAAGAAATATGGTGTTGGCTCAGGCCTCACAAACGATCCAATTCGATGAACCGAGGTTCGACCATTGCTCGTTACTTTCTACCTGCTAAAACTACTCGACCGTAGTGATCCTTTTGGATGATGTATTTGTAAATATGTATCGTCTTGATGATGATTATATCTGTGAGTTTACAGACCACCAACCCCTCAGAAAATGGTGCACATTTTCATTTTCAAGGTTAGTCTCTGAATGCTTCATATATGTGATCTGTTTATATCTCATATTTTAATCTTTCTACATTATGAGATTGGAGATCTTTGTCTTAGAGATCACATTATGGTTAGAGATTATTAAAATTTATGTATGCAGTTTTAGAAGTTACAGATATAAACGCTACATAAATGCTAGGAACCAGTTGTCTATTTACATTTTCTTTAATCTGTTTTTTTCCTTATAAATTCTAGCCAACTTTTTTAAAATTTTAAGAAAGCTGTTTTGAAAATAATAATAATAATAATGTAGAATTGTCAATTGAAAAGTGTTATTTTCGTTTTAGCATGAAAAGCTGACGGAATGAAACAG